AAAGGTGTAGTTATTTTTTGCCCACAACCTATTAATCCAGTTTGCGAATCAATAATGTCATTGCTATCAGTATTCCCCAGGGCAGGTGACCTTCTATTCTCACAAAATAGTTCAATTGCAAACTCATTTAAAATAGATTGGACATCATCAACTTCAGAAGAAATGGTACTAAATCAATTGGGTTTACCATTACAAGTAATTGGTAGTAATAATGTATTTTTACAACCATATTTACCCCTACAACAAATGAATTCATTATTACCAACAAACAATAGTAGTAATAATAACAACAGAAATTTAAATAATAATAGTAATGGTTATTTTGTTGGTACAAGTAATAATTTATTTTTAAAATCACCTCCATCAACAACACACGCAATTGTAGATATTCAGAGTGGCGAGATTCATTTTAGAGACCAAACCTTAAATAAATCATTAGAGCTAACATCTTCAGATCGTAGATTTATAGATAATGTTTTTGATAAAGTAGAGTTACTCTATAATAGTACAAATAATGTTTATAAGAATCAAAATCAAAGTAATAGTAATAATAGTAATAACAATAATAAAAATAACGAAGACGATCACTTTAAAGAAGGTTCAGAAAAGTGGATTAGGGATCAATTTGAAAACTATATTGTTTGTTTGTTAAGTTCAGTTTGTAGATTTATTAAACAGGAGGATGTAAATACAGTAATAACAAATATGGATCAATTATCTCAATACAATGATAGCTGGATAAAGAAATGGGCATATACAAAAAATTTTAACATATGGAAAAAAGCAATGTTTAATAATTTACCATTACCACAGCTTAATTACCCAGTTCATCCATCTGGCCCACCATCAGATATGTTAGATAAATTTCAAGATAAAATTACTGCTTCAATGAAAGACCTAAAACCAATAACTTCACAATTTTCAAAATATTTATCAATTACGTCATCATTGTTTTTTACAGGTACAGTTAATAGTAATAGTAATAACAGTAATAATAGTAATAATAATAATAATAACAATAATAGTGATTATAGAGATTATGACGAAATAAACAATAATACCCAAACCCATAATAATAGTAATAACAACACATTTATAATAAAATCAAGTAACAGTGAAGAGTATTTGTATAGTAATGACGATGCTATGTTTGATGGAACCAATGTAAATTGGAGTAAAGTTCAAGAAAGGAGTATTAATGCAGCAAACAAAGCAGTAAATGCTGTTAAACCAATGGTATCAAATAGCAAAGTAATTGCAAAGCAGCTATCAAACTCTTTAATGAGCTATATAGCTCCAATGCCTTCCGATATTAATGTCAACAACGAGCTTGATGAATCAAATAATGATTTATTTGAATCGCCACCAAATGAATTTGACTTTCTTGGTAATTACTATAGTAACAATACATCACCTATAAAATCAGTCGACAATAATAGTAACAGTAGCAGTGATAGTAATAGTGGTGGCATGAACAGAAACAATAGCTCAGGTAATATGGTTAGAAACAATAGTTCAGGTAATATGATCAGAAATAATAGTTCGGGTAATATGGTCAGAAATAATAGCTCAAGTAATATGAATATACCCATTATCCCAACAACCTCGAAAAAAATAGTAAACATAATTTCAACTTCATACGATGATAACGGCGATGACTATTTATCACAATCAAGATCAACAACCACAACAACTTCATCCAAAAAATCTTATGAATTGGCATCAGACATTCAATCATTAGACGATATTTACGAACTTTAAAATAAACTAAACTAATATTAATATTCACTTTTTATAAAAACTATGTACGAAAAAGTACATTTAATTATTTTTTTTTTTAAATTCGAGAAGGAAATTTTTTTTATTCGAAAATTTCCGATTTTTTTTTTTTTCTTTGATAAGTTTTAAGAATTTAAAAATAAATACGAATAATATTCAGCATTAGAAATCAAAAAAAACAATCAAGTAAATAAATATTTATAATAAAATGATAAACCAGGTTATAAACATTTTATTTTTAAAATTTTTTTTATTTAAAGAAACCATGGAAATAGTGATGGCTGTGGTGTTCTGGTGGTAATGGGGTAACTGTACAAATTGGTGTTATTTTTTTTAAAAAAAAAAAGATTTCTTTTTAAAAAGACACATGCCCAAATCTTTCTTTTTTTCGATTCTTATTTTAAAAAATAGAAAAATCTTGATTTTGTTTAAAAAAGAAACGAACACAACAACATTCACCATTATATAAACTAAACCGTCAGGTGTTATTATATCATCATGGACCACCAATGCCCAAATAATTTTTTCAAAAAAAAAAAAAATAAAAAAATAATAAAAAACACAAATTTGTGGATTTGCAGATTTTGTTTTTAAAGTTTTAACCAAAGTTATTTAAAAAATTTTTTTAACATCCATTTTACATTCCATAATAATTATACACAAAAAAAAAAAATAAAAAAAATAAACAAAGAATAAAAAAAAAAAAAAATAAAATAAAATAAAATTTTAGTAATAGAATAAAATAATTTTTAATTTTTTTTTTTTTTTTACAATTTATAAAATTATTCGGGGATTTTATTTTTTTTTTTTTACAAATTATATTTTTTTATTTTTTTTTTTTAAATTATTTATTATTAATATTTAAAAAAAAAAAAATTAATTTAATTAATTTAGGTAATTTAATTTTATTTAATTATTTTTAAATATTTTTAAAATTTTTTATTTATTTTATTTTTAAACTTGGCAAAAAAATTTATACACCTTCCAAAAATCCCCCCCTATAGACCAAACCCCCCCCCCTTGACCAAGATTTTACTTTTTTTTATTATATATAATACCACACACTCACACACATTTATAGACACAAATATATTTATTTATATCTTTTTTTATTTTTTATTTAATAATTATTTTATAATAAATATTTAATACCTCAATTTGTGTGTTGTTAGTTAAAATATATAAATTATAATAAATAATATAAATTTATATTATTTATAAAAATTTAAAAAGAATTTAATTCTGGCGTTTTTTTAATTCAGAAAAAATTATTTAAATAAAAAAAAATAAAAACAATAAAAATTTAAAAAATAAAAAATTTTTATTTAAAAAAAAAAAAAATTGATATTATTAATAAAAACACAAAGATAGCAAAATAAACATACCGAACAAATAGATAATAATACATATTAAAAGTACTACTAGCAATAAATAAAAAGAAATAACATAATATAGTAATAGCAATAAATATTTAATAAAAATAATAATAAATAATAATAATATTATATATATAGCATAGAAAAAAATGAGTAATCCACAGTTTGAAGAAATGGATCCAGTAAGTGGATCATCAACCATTAAAATAAACAACCAGCCAGGAAATAGTATGCATACACATCATATTTATTTAAATTTTAATTTTTTCTTGTTTTTTTTAGTTTTAGTATTTTTAATTACCCATAATATCATATCAATTGTTCTATTACTGACCATTTTTTTAATTTTTAAATTTATAATCTATCCTTTAATAACACTTGCATATTATTCATTTAAAGGTATAAACCTAGAAGCAATTTCAAATTTTAGAAGTTTAGGGGGTTATCCTATTGGAAAGTAATTATTATTTAATTTATTTTATGCATATAATTAAAAATACTAATTTATTTTTAAAAAAAAAGTGGTGAAATGGTTGTTAGACCGGGTGTAGTTTGTAGATCAGCAGGTCCAACCAACGCAACAGTTAGCGATGAATTTTGGTTATTAGAGGTATTAAATATTAAAACACTTATCGATCTTAGAACATCATGGGAAAATAAAACAATATCACCAGTTAGAAAATTTGAAGATAATTTTATTCAATACTCAATTAAAGATGATGGTAGACAACAAGTACAACAAGTACAACCACAATTACAAGTATCACAACCACCAGCACCACAACAATATCAATCTTCACAAGCACAACCAATACCATCACCAAATACACTCAATGTACCACCAACATCAGAAACATCACTTACCAACAGTTATAGCTCGAGCCCAACTGGATTAAGTGGTAGTCTCAGTAGCAGCGGCAGTGGAAACGGTGGTGTAAATTTAAAGAAATCAAGTAATACCATACCAATTGCAATTGAAAAAAAGAATGAAAGAGAGAAGGAGATGGAAGAACAAAGAAATGGAATACTTTGGAGAATATATAATAGAAATTTAACACCAGACGAGTTACTCAAACTTCGTTCACACAGCAGTGGTGTGCTTAGAAAAAGATTTTGTATTCCTTTAATTAATAATAAGTTCTTTTTAGAAGGTGTTTACACTACAGCCCCCAACGATACTAAAATGAAATGTACAGCAGCTCGTTATTTATTATTCAACGACCAAATCGGTGCATACATGTTGATGAACCATCTCAATGATTTGGGTATTATAGAAATGTACAAATTAACCTTAATTTACACCAAAGAAGAAATCCTTACAATCTTTAGAATCCTTAAAAATCCAGATAACTATCCAATCATGTACTATTGTTCACTAGGTAAAGATCGTACTGGTATGGTTACTGCTTTACTCTTATCAGTATTGGGTGTACCAAGAGATTACATTGTCGAAGACTATGCCAAATCTGAAGTTAATATTGCCCCATTCATGGAACAAATTAGAAGATACTTTACAAGAGTAGGCTTGGCCAAAGAGGAGTTTGTAAGATCCCATCGTTGGACTATGGAGGGTCTTTTATCTTGGGTAGATAAAATGTATGGTTCAGTTTCTGGTTACCTAGATAACATTGGTTTCAGTTGTGCTGAGCAAGATGAACTCAGAGCTAATCTCATTGTATCAAAGGAAGAGTACGATCAATACTTAAACGAAAAATCACAAATACCTGACCTTCAAAAACGTCATGATGAATATGTACAAATACAAAAGTCAAAGAAACCCCAACCAAAATTCTTCACTTCTGCAAGTCCAAGATTCTGGAGACGTCTTTCTTTTTCAAAAGATTTACAATTTAATGCTAATGATAATTCTAGATAACATTAAATAATAACAATAATAATAATAATAATTTCATCAAAAAAACTTTTTTATTTTATTTTTAAAAATTAATTCTTTTTAAAAATAATATTTAAAAGAAAAATAACATAATATTAATTAATTAATCATCTTATTTATTTTTGTATTTTTCAAAAGCGGATACTTTTTTTTTTTTAAAAAGAAAAAAATAAAATTTAAAAATTTCTTTTTTTTTCAAAGATTTCTTTTGTATCAGTTCCGATCAAAATTTTTTTTTTTTATTTTTTATTATTCGACTTTCACCCCAAAGATTTTTTATAAACCTTTTTTTTTTTTAATTTTTTTAATTTTTTTTTTCTTTTTATTTTCTTTAATACCTATATATTTAAAAACTCTTATTAACTCTTTGTATAATTATTTAAAATGGGTATGAATAAAACAATTTTAATTTTATTTGGTAATATTGAATAATTGAATATTTAAAATTTTTTTATTTAGATTTCTTAGGAAGTAAAAGCAAAATTCAACAAGGAAGTAAACGTAATGCAGGAAATGGCACTCCTTTGGGAACCACAAGCTTATCAACAACCAATAATTCAACATTTGGAAATACCACAGATAGTGTAGCCAAGGTTACATGGTGTAGTTAAATAAATTTATGTACTTTAAAAATTAGAAATAAATAATTATTTTTAATCAAATAGAAAAATAAAAATAAAAAAATTTTATTGTTTTTATGTTATTTAATAACATAATTGTATTTCTGTATAATATGAACCAAAATTATTTATTTTTGTGGTGGGTTATACAATAAACCTTTTCTGATTTCTTGAAAAAAAAAAAATCTGGATCATAAAATCTTTTTTTTTTCACAAATATTTTATAATTTGTTTTTTTTACAATTTTTTTTTTTTCATTATTTATTTCAAAACAATTTTAATTCATATTTATTTTCTCAAATATTTATATCTTTAATAAAAACAAATAAAATGGGTAATTTTTTATTTAAATTTTTTTAAATAATTCAAAATTTCTAATATGATTTTCAAGATATTCAACCATTTAGACGTTCAATTTTTCAAGGAGCTAGACGTGGTTTTAGTAGTGGGTATTCAGTAAATACAACATCCACATCAACAACATCAAATGATAATTCTACAGATCCTACTCGTGTAACATTTAATACTTAATAGGTCAATAAATATTAAATTATAAAATATAGTTTATATTTATTTTATCAAAAAATCAAAGACTTCAATTATTAATTTTTCTAATATTTAAATTTATAATATTTGTTTATTTATATTATATTTTTCTTTATTTCTTTATTTCTATATTTATTGATATTATTTTTATCTTATATTAAAACATTTTTTCTCTTTTTTTTACTTCCTCTTCAATTAATTTTAATTCTTCAATTGATGAGATATTGTTTATTAACAGTTTTATTGCTTGAATTAAATTATTGTTATTGCTATTGTTATTGCTGCTATTATTGTTATTATCTATTCTAAAATCCACCTTTTTGGGTGGTGCAACTGTTGTGGTTAAATTTGTGGGGGTATTTTTTAATTTTAAATTTGGGGGAGGATTTGATTTTAGTGTGTTTTTTGGAGAGGGTGATGGGGCAACTTTGGCACCAGAAACTATTATCTGTTGTTTAGGAGGGTTTTTAATTACGGCTTGTTGTGAAGATAATGGGTTTATATTCGGTCTTTTTTTATCTATTGTTGGCGATGACGAGGTTAAAGGTATAGCTTTTGGTTTGTTTGATGGGCTATTGGTTAAAATTTGTTTTTCACGAATTGCTTTTATATTAGAAACACTTTTATCTCTTTCTTCAGGGGAAATTTCTATTATAAATAAAATTAAAATTAATTCTCTTTTTATTTATGATTGGATTTAAAAACAGCATTATATGATCGGTGTTGTTATGGTGAAAAGATTGATAATTAATAGCGTTTTTTTTTATTTTTTTTACTTTATATTTACTTTTAAAATTTATAGTCTCTAATTTTTTTAAATAACAGATTATATAGTCGTTGATAGTTGTTGAGTCAAACTTCGAACCAATTGATACATAATGTTTTAAATTTTCCAAGTTTTTAACTTTGGTAATATAGTTTTTGGTTCCTTCAGAACCAAGTTGTGTAATCTTTACATTTCTTACATAGAGTTCTTCAAGTGATTTCAAACATTCAATGGGAGGCACCTGCTCGAAGCTATTGTTACTTAAAATTAAACTTTTCAAATTTATTAATTTTGGGAAAAATTCAAACTTTTATTACAAATAAAATTTTTTTTTTAGTTTACTAATAGGATATTATATTGATTTATAAATAAACTTACATATGTTACAGACTTTAAATTATTATTTAAATCTAGATTAACTATATCTTCAAATTTTTTTGCTTTAAACCTATCTAAAAACTCTGTTTCCATTATCCTCTTTAATAATACAAAAATTAAAAATTTTTTTATTTTTTTTTTATTTTTATTTTTAACAAAAAATATGCAAATCACAAAGTTCAAGATATTTTTTTTTTTTAAAAAAAATAAATAGTTTTATACTTATAATAAAAGAAATAAATAATAATTTTTTTTTTAGAATATAAAATAGTTTATTTAATTTTATTTTTTAAAACCAAAGTTAACCATTGAGTGTGTCATAAAAGAGGAATAATCATCCCATTTTGCTTTGATTGAATTTTGCCAATTAATAAATCTTTCAAGGTATCCAAAGAGTTCTTTATTTGATTTATTTACTTTTTCTAATTCTTGGTGTTGGGTTTCGACAATTGATAAAAGCTTTTTAATTCTCTCATCAGTTTCAATTGATAAGCTTGCGCCATCTATTATGTTGGTTGGTTTAATTTCTTCTAATTCTTTTTTTAAATTTTTCATATAAATTTGGGTTTCATTTTCTTTTGGTGGTGGAACTTGTGCTTTTTGAAGTAGACTGGTTTGAGGATCATTTTTATCATTATTGGTTTTTATATTCGCATTATTATTTTGGGCTGTATTTGTGGCTGTATTGGTTATTGTGGTTTGTGGAGCTGCTATAGATGGTGAAGTATTTGTTTGATTGTTGATATTTATATTACTATTATTATTCATATTATTCATATTATTCATATTATTCATGTTATTCATATTATTCATATTACTATTGTTACTATTATTATTCATATTATTCATATTACTATTATTACTATTATTATTCATATTATTGTTGCTATTGTTATTATTTAAAATGGTGTCATTATCATCTAAGAAATCATCCAAATCATTATTACCACTATTTTTATTTAAATTTTGATTTTCTGTTTTTTGGGTTGGTGCAATTTGATTGTGACGAGCTAGAATAATATTATATCTTGGTTTAACTAAAAATATATTTAAAGTTGATTCTAAAATTGATACGATTTGATTAACTTCATCCTGGGTTAGATTGAGATTGTTATTGAAAATAATTCCTTCATTTGGTTTGGTTATGGTTGATAAAAGTTCTTTACTAATATCTTTAAATATATTTGTAGTTGGAATTAACGCTATAGCTTTTAAAACATTAATGGATTTTGAAGTTTTTAATAATATTTCCATTAGTTGACACTGAAGGTCGACCTCACAGAGACTTTTCTTTGTATGGTTCTTTGATTTTAACCAGCTATCCAATGAAATGTTTTTATAGGTTTCAATAGTATCTTTAGTTTTTAATGATTCCCAAAGTTTAGCAATAAGTTGGTTATTTTCCATTTCTTGGGTGAATAAACGACCTTCTTCATCTATTTATAAAAAAAAAGTTTAAAGTATAAATTAATAAAAAGAAAAGATATTATATTATTAAATATTTATTATTTAATGTTTTACTTACTCTTTGGAGTACTGCTTAAAATTATTGGGAAAAATAAAGACAATCTTAGTGTTGCAAGAATAACTAAATCAATACTATTATTTGCATGTAGCTCTTTTGAATTGAGAATACAAACTCCTGTTAATGATTGTCTGAGTTTGCTGTGAAGTGAAACCCTAATTGGGAAGAGTTTTTTCCATCTAACAGTTCTAATTGATTGTGATTGTAGTTGTGGTTGCGATTGTGATTGCGATTGTGGAATAAATACAGTAGAGGAGTTTGCAATACTTGGTTTGATTGGTGTTGATACTTTTATTTGATTATTAAAATTGGTATTATTATGAACTGTTTGGTTTTGATATGATGGCTGTTGGTAAAATTGTTGATAGTTGTTATTAATTCTATTATTTATTGGTGATGGTGGTGGAGGATCTTTTCTTTTTTGTTCTTGATGCTGTTGTTGTGATTGTTGTTGGATTTGTTGTGGTTTTTGTGATTGATGTTGGATTTGTGGTGGTTGTTGGTGGATTTGTTGTGGTTGTTGGATTTGTTGTTGGATTTGCTGTGGTTGTTGTTGGATTTGTTGTTGGATTTGTTGTGGTCGTTGTGATTGTTGTTTACCCCCCCTTGGATTTGTTGTAGTTGTTGTGATTGTTGTGTTTTTTGAGATTTTTTGTGATTTTTGTTGGATTTGTTCTGGTTGTTGTGATTTTGGTTGTCCCCCCCCCATTTATTTGATTTACTCCTCTTCCAAATGGACCTTATTTGGGGTTGTATATCTCCGACCAGCCCGGGAAGAATCGCCAATTTGGTGGAATAATTTGTTTCCTTTGGCTAATTTAGATGGAGTAAAAAAAACCGGTTCTCTCAATGGCAACCTTAGAAGTGGGGAACTTTCCCCCATTAATAAATTCCCCCCA